GGCATGTCAGTGACTGGGATAACACAGTTATTAAGCACTCAGTATTTATTAGGAACGACCCAAAAGATTTTCGGCACATATATTATGTCATAGGATGACTGAAGAAACAATTCTGCTTTGATTCATCGCATTCTGGTTAAATTTTAAATTAAGGTGAGTTTGACTACCGCAGCATGAATGATATAATATAGTGGAGAAATATTTTTTAGGATTTCATTATGAGAATCATTGAAAAACCTGGGAGTACTGAACAGCTGTTTCGTCCTACTATGAGACTCTTCACCCACTGGGGTTTGAACCCAGGACCTTCTGGTTACAAGGCGAGCTCATAGACCATTAAGCCACTGAGACCCGATCCAGTGGCCAGCCCATGAATTCTAAATTCTGCCAAATTCACGACAAATCGAACCCCGGTGGGTGCGTGCTGATGAAGACTTTCAAACTAGGACGAAACGGTTGTACAGTACTCCCAGGATTTCCAATGGTTCTACAACCAATTTCACCTCACGATGAAATCCTGTAACCAATCGATCAAATCCCTACTATCCAATACTTGAAATATAGTTTTGTTTGATTTCTTAGTTCACGCAGAATGTTTATCTCAACAAGTACTTCAGAGAACAGATACTTTTCAGTGACTTTGTTTTCCACAACTGTAGAAGAGCAAATACAGATAATTTTATTTCATGACTGCATTGAAGTTTCTTATGTCCACACTGGTTTCTGTTTCAGAATGGTTATCTGAATAATTTCTCGAGAAAGAATATGTTGAGATCATGGGGAAGATATTGATGGACACGGTAAATAAAGAAATCTTATATTAATTTTCAGGAACACTAGTGCTCTGATATCCTAACGCGCTGGCTGAATTTATTCGCCAAAATATGAATCAATGCAGTGGAGCTAATCCTCACTTTTTAGTTAAACCGGTACCCACGGAACTTGATCAAGGATAGATCTACAAGTAATGGCTTGTAAAATTATTTGCAGATACCGAGTTCACACGGCTTTATAGTTGCATGTTGATGAAAATGTAACAGGGTTTTGGGGGATAGACCAGAATTTCTTTACTTAGTAGACGAGAAACATTAGATATGTTCGAAGGCGTCCAACAAAGAGGCTTTTTGACCAACCAATACTAAGGAGCCGGTCAGCACTCCGTTATAAAGTTATTGAAAACTATAGCAGTTGCAAGGCAGATTTTATCATCTACAAAGCTAATGACGGCTAATATTACTGGTTGCCTGCGTTGATATTGGTTTAGGATGTATCCACAGTATTGCTTTGTTTCTGCTATCTCACTTTACTTCCTTTTAAACTAAGCACCTTTTGTAACCTTCTGTACAGCTAAATTGAAAAATACGCAGGTCGTTAAATTACTGCACTCAGAGCTTACTTAACCGAAACGAAATCTTTTTCATTTGCAGGTAGGTTTCGCAATATTATACGCTTATTAAGTGTGACGTATGATTTATGAACAGAGTTTAATTTAGTTTAATAAGTGATATTATTTTAAGCAATTCTCAGTACTTCGAAAACAATTTCTTCTCTTTTTCTCCTAACCATTAAAGCTGATGACAGTCTACTGAGATATCCCTCAGCTTTTAATCTGGAGGTAGGTAGGACCAATCTTCAAAAAAGATTTGCTTTTCAGTGTCACTCAAGAATGATATAACTGTAATCTTTCTACATCGGTGGTAGATACTTGCCAGCACCACAAGAAGATTATGTCACGACACTGGGTGGTTCGATTTTCATGGTGGTTTTCAAAACCACTATAACTGAATAATGAATTCCAGTGCACTGATTTTAAATTATTAAAATATTGGTTAACTGCATAATAAGAGTTAAAAACTACAGTGAGTCATCATTTTGTAAAATAATAACGTACTTCTTATTAATGCTACTTTGCATTTTAGGAAAATGTTTTCATTTAAAACTAGCAATATAGTAAATACTATCTCTCAGTAGGACACGATTTAATCTCAGTGAGAAAATATCACAATGAGATAAAGTCTGTTCAGACGACGAGTAGCAGAAGAAGAAAGGTGCACGTCCTTAATCTCACTGTCAGTCGGAAAATATTAACAGTCATGGGTGAATTTCAATGAGTTTTGCTCTATATACAATAACAGTCATTTTCATGCATGAATGTCTTCAGGCTAAAATTTATAAAGTAAGTCACTCCTACTCATGCAATCCCAAGTCTAATTATAACCACATAAATAAAGTTTTGCTCTGAATCACGAGGTATTGCATCCTGTTTTCAAAACTCTGAATTCTTTTTAGTGAGTAATATGCAAAGCAGATAGTTGTACACTGTAATATTCTAACCTCTTAAACAACAGTGACAAATTCTTTTAATGCAGCACATGTTTTTTAATGAAATTGGAAATGACATCGAAATGTACCTAAAGTCATACTAACTTTCACGTGCCTTTGATTATAAAGTTTATCAGTATAAGTAATCTGAATGGTACAGTTTTCTAGTTCAAAGTCGATTATTTGAAACTTACAACAGGGACCTTGAGATAAGGCCATCCCCAAAATACCATCATTTGTGACTAAACGTTTTGTGACATTTTGCTGGAAACCAACTAATCAGACAAACTTAGTGGAATGGCCTCTTAACCTTGTCTTGATGACATTTGCGAAGACTTTTTGTCTATATTTTTTATTGTCAAACGAAGCGTTTTGAATAGTCGTGATCTAATGAATTATTGATTGCAAAGTTTCTTGATCTATCAGTCCTCAATACATAGATTGCTTCCTGCTTTCTGCTCATCAACACGGTTTATATGTTTCTTTAATGAGGTATCATTGTTCTCTCTGAAAGCTAATTGCTCCCAACATTCTTAAAAGTAATTAGTGATAATAACGTTCTCATTTAGTTCCACAATTAGATATCCATAACATCTAGAGAACAATATTAATTGACAACACCAAGGTTTTCATGAATTTTCAGTTGAAAAATTCTTGTAACAAAGCAGTTTTCAACTACTGTTGGAAAAGTAATGTAGCGGTAAATAATTCCCCAAAATTATTGACCACTGCAATCATCACTGAACACTGGATGCTGACCCTCACTGTTTAAGTCGACTTATTTAGCTGAAGGCTTCCGGTCAAGCATCCATGCCATTTGGTACTCCGTCGTGTCACGTTCGTGCACGATCACCAGCCAGCTAAGCATTCATCTCGGTCTACGATTTGGTCCCGAAATATATCTCGTAGTTTGGACGATCAAATAGTGTCTTTTGCTTTGCCTTTGGTCCACGAGGAACGAATATTATAGAAATTGTTGGTATTAGATCTTGCGTTAGTATACTTCGTACAATTCGCGAACGTCGATACCGTCAGCCTCTAAAGTAACATCTCCATCGTATATTTCATTTCAAAGCAATATTTTTGGGGAAAATGGTCAACTGAAAGAAAAAACATTTTACCTAAGATATCTCGGAAAATATTATACTAATTAAATACACTGAATTTGCAATTTTTTGTACTAACGTTGAATTATTATTATTGTTTTCTTTAGTTCCTAGAGGAACATAGTGCTTCAACCGCACGTCTCTATTGCTTTTGTTTCTCTGCCAGCATTTTCACCTGGCTCGACGTCCGCCCACATGCTTTCATCTCCTCTTCACATGACCTCCTCCATATCACCCTCACACTGACGACCAGCTCGCTGCTTCGCGTTCGCGTTCCACTCGAGCGATACCCTGGCATGTGGTGTCACTTGATGGTTTCCTCAGAGTATGCCAATCCATCTCCATTTCTTCCTGCTTATGTGCTGCACAATCGATTCCTGGTTGGTTTGCTCCCAGACATCCTTGTTGCTGAACTTTTCTGGTCAGCCATCTGATCTTGAGTATAGAGCGAATTCAGCTGTTGATGAAGGTCTGTTTTTTCGAAGTACTCTTCATGACACGCCAATTCTCTGATCCATACAGTAGCACTGACTTCACATTGGAGTTGAAAATCCTGATATTATTTTCCATGCTGAGTGCTGTTGACCTCCACACAGACTTGAGAGTAATGAAAGTTTGCCTTCCTTTCCCTATCTTCACTTTGATATCCTCGTCAATTCCGCCTGTAGTTGAAACGATGCTTCCCAGGTTGGTAGGTAAAGGAGGTTGCTTCTTGCAGATTTCTCCCATTTATGCTGATTGTTGTCTGTTCTTGTACTTGTTGCTGATACTGTCGGCCAGGAATCTTCATCAACTCTGTTTTCTCAATGTTCACCTGAAGTAGTCCTATGCTCTCTGGATGCTTTTTCCCCCAACTTGTTGCTTTTCACTTGCATATCTTCCAATTTGTGGGAAATCAGACATATATCATCGGCGAAGTTCAGATCCTCCAAGCTTTTTGTGTGAGTCCATTTTATGCCTGCTTCCTCTCTGTCTGATGTCTGACGCATTATTATTAATACTGTTATAATTAAACCATGTTCTAATATCTTATCACAATTTATTTTGCTTTTTTATTCCTTTACGTTCCTTGCGGAACATAAGGCTTCAGGCTGGAGGCTTGAAGTTTCAGTAGCAATGGTGTTTATTTTTACGGAATGGGGTTGCTAGCCTCATACCTAACATTCCTTCCTTACCAGTCTTATTACTGGCTTAGAGACAGGAAGGGATGAGTCAGCCGGCGATCGAACCGCGAACCACCTGCGTGGTCGGCGAACATCCTACCGCTGTGCCACTGACGCACAATTTGTAGCTTTACACTTTCATTTACTAGTCGCAGTCATCAGTCTTCCTGGATGCACAAAACATTCACATGAATGTGGATGAATGATAGCAAATCAAATCATGATATTTATTTATAACTAATGTCCATAAAACTCTTGATGATGTAGATGTATCCAGGATTTGATATTTCCCTAAATTATCAAACCTACAGCCTTTTATGCACTACTCTGAAATGTTTAATTATTACATAATTCCTTTTCCATCCCATCTAATCATTGGGTATTTATGTCAGAAGTAAAATTAACACTTTTGCAGGAATTATCAGAAGTCATATTCTATCAATATTTTTTCTTGTAAAATAAGAATAAATACTATATATGAATGAAGAAAACAGAACAAAAGGCTTAATATACAACTAAGGCGACATAATTTACACAAAAATTTTCTTAGTTTATACATGATAGCAATATTTCTTACACGATTAGTTTTAACTTGAAGGAAAACTGATTTCATAATATAAGCGCTTCTGGCACTATATGGCTTTTGTCTGACAGACAGTATTCTGAGTAAAATTCCAACGAAGCCAGCAAAATAGTTGGAATCAAGGAAGTGCACAGTGGAAACAGTCGGGTTTTTGCTGTATGAAAATTCACATTAAATCAATTGGAGTAGATTAAACATTCCGAGGTCATAGTCTGGTTTTCTTTCCTTTATTTCAGATAGTTTCTTCTTTATCATGCACATGTGTAGGTTAATTGTGTTATTTTACACTAAAGAATATACTGTGAAAGACTGAATAAAGCCATCACACTTTCAATATCATGTTGTCGTTAAGGTGACAGTGTATGACGCATACTTTTATCACGTTTCACAGTACTATTCGAAATTTGACGAATTTGGTCTAATTCAGCTTGAACAGAGGCTAAATTTTGACGCAGTAAATTATTTTCCATATGGGATATACTTAAATCCCAACGTAGTCGAGTCAGTTCTTGAGTTAATTTGTCTACTCTGGCTAACTGACCTGCAGCATTAGCTTGAGCTGCTGCAGCAACTGAACGCCAATATCGAATCTGTTCCACTGGACTATGTGAGTCCAACGATTCACTTCGAATGGTTTTGTCATGTTTCTTACTAGCATTAAATTCTTTTGTATGTATCGCTTTCTTTGGGAAATCACTTTGTGAATAGTGATAACCATTGTAATGTAAACTATCTGTAGGTACACCAGCTGTTAATGTTATCTCTGTATTAGTATTATCAAAGGTGTTATTTTCGTTAGTGTTAAGCTGTGCAACTTTTTCACTATTTAAGTATATTTTTGACAGAACATCCAAATTAAAAGAAGCATAAGTTTCATTAGAATCTTTTTGTTTCATTGTTTTACTCTCCACTGGTAACTTCTTTTTATCTGTATTGATTGACCAGTGAGTTGGAATTACGGGACGATCTTTTGCTGAAGATTTTGCCAATTCTGAATCGTTCTGATGAGAAGGCAAACTGTTGAAAGATTTTTCTGTTATTTTCATAGAGTTTATATCTGTATGAACTATGTTCAGATTATCCATATCTTCCCTTCGATCTTCTATAATTGTAAGCTCACTGGAATCCGTTTTCGTATCATTATTACTGTAGGTACCATTATTACTATTATTATTATTACAGTGTAGATTTTCTTCAGATTCACCAACAAGTGAACCTAATTCATATTCACCACTTTCTGTATGAAGTTTACGTAATTGTATTCTTGATTCTTTCTGTTCAGCTGAGTGGTTCATATCAATTCTGGTGGTTAAACTTTTATGTAGATGATGACGTTTATCTAGTTTCAGAAACCAAAAAAAAATAATAACAAAGTTATGGTTATCAGGACTGAAATGTTTTCATTAAAAGTAGTATACCCTTTTTCGAAAACTTTTCTGGATTTATGAAGCTCTAGAAAAAAAATAATAATTACGCTAAAAGTGACTTCTGAGGCGAAAACATAAGGAAGGAAGTGTTAAAATGAGCTGCATATGAAAGTTTAACTATAAGACTGTGAATCAATCCTAAGATTGTAAACGCTTTATGAACAAACACTAGTAAAAGAAAATTCAGCTACCTTGATTAAAATAGGTCTTTATAAGCACCTGTTTGACACAAACTGTACGACAAATGCATAAATTCTAGTAAATATGCACTCTGGATCATATGACAAAATATTCGACATTTCGTCAGTGGATTACGGATTTGAATACTCCTGTACCTAAAAGATATAGGCAACTAGATAATGTCAACGGTCACCATAAGATAGTTATGGTTCACTGTCAAATGTATCTTAATTCCACGAAAATGGTGAGATTCACTGACCATAAATGAGCTCACTTCACAGTAATACTGACTATGAAACGGTGAATTTGGATTAAGCTTTTCACCATAGTATCATTACTTAATTACAAAAGCAACATTCATAAAATTCATGTGTCAAGTAGTATCAGTTTCTAACTTAAAATGATAATGAGTAATAATAAAGGACTCTTTTTTAAATGAAAGGCAACCTTACAACAAGTACTAGTACCATATGGGGTTAAAATACGACACGAATGGTGTAAAATAAGGCCAGGAAGAATCCCTAATGTTTAAGTAGTGTATAAATTAATAACACGCATTCGCTTGACCGATGGTTCTGACCACTTTTATATCAGTGCTACAATCCTTTGTTTATTACTCATTTATGAATTTATAATTGCTTTCAAAACGGTTCTCGCTGCATAAACACGATAATTGTCATCTTGGCATTTGAAAAGTTATAATGTATTTGGGGTAAATCCAATCATACTTAAATAAAACGCTGCAATTATCCTTTAAGTATTTACGTTATTTGTTGTAGGCATGAGGATTATATATATATAAAGTGTATAAGCAAACCGTCTTGACGACTACTGTTATTTTCTAATACTGCTCAAGTAACATTCCAATTAAACATTCTTATACTTCCAAATAGTGTTTCACATGTCACACTTTTGATAAGTTCTTCCCAAACACGAAAAATAATATTTATCACAAGCATTTTCAAGAAGTACAAGTCGAAAAATCTCTTTCAGAATAAGGTTTGTACTAAACTGATCATGAAAAAAGAATTTCTCTGATTTGCTACTGTCGTGGTTTTTTCCTTTCAGCTTCTTTCATCATACTACTGCAACACAGTCCTCGGAAAAACTGCATTTCAGATACTCTAACTGATAATTAACAAGTTCAAACGAGTTAAACTGAAAGCTTGTGTAGAACTATGCCGTATTTTATTTCATCTGTTATTCTGACATTTCATAACATAAAACGCTTTGAAGAGGGGATATTCACACACGAATTTTGATGTAGAATAGCGGTTTTAAGAGAGAAAAAATGACAGTATTATGAGTAAGATTATTACAGCAAACATTAAAGTTGTTTACAAGCCTATATGAATGAATATACGCTTTCGAATAAATTAAAATAAATCTGTCCAGAGTTTAGTCGACTAATGTATTTCAATGGCTTATACAGTCAACCATTTTTATCCACAACGCGACATATCCGACATTTTTGTTTTTTATTTTTGTCCTTAAGAAATATTGTAAAACTTCAAAAATGTTTGACGTAGATTATCATGAACACGTCGAAAGCAACCTAAAATACATATGTACACTGCTAGAGTTTAGATTCATTTTCTTCAAAAAAAAAAAAAGAAAAATAATATCTGGTCTCTTTTCCTTGAAATATTCTGCATAATGAAAAAAATATCCAGAATGTTTTGTTGATATTTATGAACCATCATTCTTTAGTTGGACTTTGTTTCTCCAATCTTTAAAATGCCTCCTTTACAAACACGCATTGTCGGAAACGTGTTACAAACATAAATCTATCCATTCAAATTTTATTTGTCTGTAGACTTGTACTATATTATTATCTACGTGTGTTAAATCATTTAAGAATAATTTTACCCAAGACAAAAGGTGATGTCCTGTTTTTTTTTAACATTAACTTACGACAAATATAAGCTGATGAGGTGCTTATTGCATAGAATTCGTAGGAAAGACTCAGTAAATTACTACTGATACCCTTTTATTACAAATGTCTGAATCTTATGTATGAATAAATGTGTTTCACTATTTGTAGCAATCTAGAGTTTTTCTCGATGCTGTTATATTTAAAATGGTCCATGTTTCAGTATTTTTATGCATAAACAAGAATGGGAGATTAGTGCATTGAAAAGTATGCCCAGATTTTATCACAGAGCAAGCAAACAAGCCTAACTGACACTCATAATAACACTGAAGAGATGAATTGTCTTTGCTTTTCATAGATAGGAAAAGAAAGGATTACAAAAAAATAATAAATGCATGCAGTAGTGGTACATACTACTTACTGATTGATATAAGTAGTTGTATACTCCTCGCACTAACTAGTGGTATACCTAGTTTGTTGGAAATTATCTAAACACCAGAGGATTGTTTCGCTCGTTTTAATGGCGACTGTATTAGTGGTGTACCTGATATGAGTCAGTTGACAGTGCCGAATCAGTCCATACCAGCCGAAATCCGGCTAGTTGCTCCAGCAAACTGTAAATATATTGAATCAAATTATCAACTTGCAGATTGATTTACTGATAACACATATCTGGCTATCAAACGCTACTGGCTAACATGACTGGTACCAATCTGCTGATGTCAGTCAACCGGTAATATATATATATATATAGCATCATTCAATTATGCTGGATTTCTTGATTTCTACTCAGGGTACAAAAGACACATTGTGTTTGAATAGTTTCGGTTTCCAGCGGATACTGTGTAAATTACAAATCTTAAATCGATTTACAATTTGCAAATTGATTCAAATACATTCAGTTGGTTAAAAGGAAATTTATAAGCCATCTAACTCAAAAATCAACTATCTATGAAATAGAAATTATATCATTCACGTGTTATGGTGCTTCAATTTTAAGTTACTTAAAAGTTCACTGATCGTAACCTTGATGTTTAGTTTGGTTGACAGCTTCATTAAACTAAAACAATCTGGTTCAAATATTGGATTTGAGTGATAGGCTGACAGTCATCCGAAGAACAAGAATCACTAAATCGGTAATCAAGCTATATCTGTACGAATCCACCAATCTGTGATACGATTAAATGAGCTTAGAAGTTAGAGAACCATCGAAAACCAGGGAGTACTGGACAGCTGCTGTTTCATCCTAGTTTGGGAATCATCTGTAGTATGCACCCACTGGGATTCGGACCCAGGACCTTCCGGTTACAAGGCAAGCTCGTATACCATTCAGCCACTCGGACCCGATTCAATGGCTCATGAATTCTAACTTCTACCAATTCGTGATTTAGCGCGACCCCAACCATTGTTGTTGGTGGGACATCCATCCACACACGTGACATCTAATTAGACCTCACTGGTCACGACTTCATACTAGAACTCCAGGAAACTTCATCCTGTAGCAAGTCACTAGCGAGCATTAGATTAATTTTCTATAGTTTGGTTTGTAAGGGTTTGTTATGTTTTTACGAGTTGATCACGGACTGATATCAGTTAGATAACCATTGAAAACCAGGGAGTACTGGACAGCTGCTGTTTCATCGTAGTTTGGGAATCATCGGCAGTACGCACCCGATTTTAAACTAACGGTTTATTCATGTGAGAACAGTCACAATTTCCATCTTCAAAAATAACACCCACATGACGTAAAGTGTGCACATGTATGTTTAGAATTTGCCTACTCGATTTTCACTGTTTTCAGTATGTGACAATGATGCATACTTGACATATGTACTAATAAGTTGAATAAATTTCATATTTAACAAAACTGACCAAAGCATTATGGAAGATCATACAAACTCCCCTTGTTTTCATTACTGTTTTCAAAAGATATTTCCGAATATAAAAATGTTTATTCTACTCAACTATCACTCTCTTTTTCCATTGTTTCTTTTGTACTAGTTAGTTTCTAGTTTAGTCTTCTTTTCATCGCCTTCACTGAAAACAATGACTAAAGCTGGGTACTACTTCATCTACTTGTAAATCTTTGTTACCCTAATCATTTGGTAGTACCTATAATATGGAGAATTTTTCCACACTGCTCATATTTCTTACTGAAATAATGAAGAAGATTTTTAGCACAGTTGGATTATGCTTTCTGAATCGGGTGGTTTAATCACGATGTCTGAAATGAAGATGTTCTCAAGGCAGATAAGAAAAGCTTCCCAATTAAATCACTCTACTAAAAGAACGCAACCACACCATATTTCTTATATCATTACTACTAGTAATATCTCAGTATCTGGTTTTTTGCACTATAAAATATCGATAAACATTTAAAACATTTCCCACTAGGAATAAATATTATGAAACAAAATAAAAAAACAAGTGATTGTTCCTTCAGGTATTTTTTTCAGAACAAATGTTCATTACAAAAAATTACACTTAGGGATTTTGTTTTTACATTTTTCCATCACACGACAATTTAATGCATCCAGTGATATATTATTTTAATCATCACCAAAGTAGTATACATAAAACTAGTTAATAAATTCTGAATGCATAGTCTTTTTTGTAGTTGTATATCGATACTAGTGGCTTAATATTTTTGTTGTACATTTCTATGTATTGCTGAATTAAATCCCGGGAGTATCCCGGAGTAACGAATTAACACTATGTATTACCATTAACATTTAAAAAATACAACTTCATATTACTAGGTTGTAAAGTTTTCTCTGCTACAGCCTTGGACCAACAGACCTAGATCTCGTTCATCCTTCACTCATTGTCTGTTACTAAGCATAAAGTTGTATTTTGCAC